AAAAGAAGAGGAAGGAAAGGGAAAGGAGAAAAGGAAATATATACCCATTCGAATGCAGAATTCCAAAGAATAGCAAGGAAAGATAAGAAAGCCTTCCTCAGCGACTGATGCAAAGAAATAGAAGAAAACAATAGAATGAAAAAGTCTAGAGATCTGTTCAAGAAAATTATAGAGATACCAAGGGAAAATTTCATGCAAAGATGGGCTCAATAAAGGACAGAAATGGTATGAACCTAACCAAAGCAGAAGATAAGAAGAGGTGACAAGAATACACAGAAGAACTGTACAAAAATGATCTTCATGACCCACGTAATCACAATAGTATGGTCACTCACCTAGAGCCAGACATCCTGGAATGTGAGGTCAAGTGGGCCTTAGGAAGCATCTCTACGAACAAAGCTAGTGGAGGTGATGGAATTCCAGTTGAACTATTTAGAATCTTAAAAGATGATGCTGTGAAAGTGCTGCACTCAATATGACAGCAAATTTGGAGAACTCAGCAGTAGACACAGGACTAGAAAAGGTCAGTTTTCATTCCAATCCCAAAGAAAAGCAATGCCAAAGAATGCTCAAACTACTGCGCAGTTTTACTCATCTCACACGCTAGTAAAGCTCAACATATTATATATAACTTTACATATTTAGAAACCTTTTATATGCAATTAAAACTTTTTGGAAGAAGTGTTAGAGAATAATCAGGCATTCAACCAGAGGAGAATTAAGCTGTTTTTAAATGAGGAAAGAATCTAAATGTTCTCACCTTTAGAGAAAATTTTATTTGTTTATTTTTTTAAAAAAAAGAGTACCGAATGCCTGAGCCAAGGGTTAGGCAAGTAACCATGAAAGAAACTGTTAAGATAAGTCATTGTTATGATGACTGACATCCCTGGTTTTCTGGATGCTGAGAAGTTTCTCAGGATGCAAGACTTCTAGTGGTAAATCCTGAGACAGTTTAGACGAGAGAGACACATCCACAAGGAGAGAAAGAGAGACAAAGAAGTGGAATCAAATATGAAAGCTTTAATAGAAATATGTCTGTGGGCGCTGGGTGGTTAGAACAAGGTCTAGTTTATTTAAGCTGTTATTTAGGGGTGGTCCATAAAATCACCAACCAGATCCCCTCCTTTGTACTCTGTAATGCTCTTCTGCTTTCCTTTGGGGCTTTACAGTGAGAAGTACACGGATAAAATGTTAATAGTTGTCTTGTTCTTGAATGTCTGCAGTGATAAACTGTATGTTTTACATCAGGCTTATCCTGAGTCTTTCTGTGGGAAGTATAATTAATTTTGTTGGTAGCCTCTTTGATCCCCAATATCTAGTAAGAGCTCGTTGAAAATTAGACTGTTGGGAATCAGAAAAACAAGTAAGTGATTAATGGAATCACTTGCTCCTAAACCAGAAAATATTGTATTTTTTTCCAAACACGTAGGAAAAGCCTTGAGTTTTTTTTTGTGGAATCATTTAAATGTTAGCAACTAGTATTCTCATAGAAAATAAACTTCTATATTCTAGCTAGTATTTAAATTTCAAAGGCATTTTCAAGGACATACTGGAACCTTATACACAGTTGCAAGAGTGGCAGATGTAGGCATTACTCTGACCCAGTGAGAGCTAAAATATTGCAAAAATATCCAGGTTCACAAATGGGTTGATTTGTTGGTATTTTCCTAGGATTGTCACATGTGTTATTCTGATATAGCAAATTTCCTATCATTATTGGGCTCCTGTTCAAGAGATCCAGTCAAAGTGTGTGCTGCTTTTTTCATTGGATCCTTTATTTCATTGTTGTTACTGATTCGTAGGAATTCCTTATGTAATTTGGACATTAACCCCCTTATAGATACATGGTTTGTAACTATTATTTTTCCATCTGATAAGCTGTTATTTTATTTTGTTGTTTATTTCCTTTGCTATGTAGAAGATTTTTATTTTGATGTAGTCGCCCTGTGTATTTTTGTTTTTGCTGCCTGGCTCTTGATGTCAAATCTCAAAAGAATCATTGAGAAAAACAGTGTCATGAAGCTTTTCTCCTATGTTTTGTTTTAGGAGTTTTACAGTTCCATGTCTTATGGTTAAGTTTTTAATCAATTTTGGGTTGATATTTGTGTATGTTGTAAGATACTTATTTCAATACATATGTCCAATTTCACCCTTTCACATGAGGAAATCGAATTTTTACCAGCACCATTTGTTGAAGAGACTACTCTTTTCTTTCTCTCTCTCTCTTTTTTTAATGCCAAACTTTACTCTCTTTTTAAAAAATTAATTGATTTATTTTAATTGGAGGCTAATTACTTGACAATATTGTAGTGGTTTTTCCATACATTGACATGAATCAGCCATGGGTGTACATATGTCCCCCATCCTGAGCCCCCCTTCCACCTCCCTCCCCATCCCATCCCTCAGAGTTGTCCCAGTGCACTGGCTTTGAGTGCCCTATTTCATGCATTGAAAGTGGACTAGTGATATATTGCACATATGGTAATATACATGTTTCAATGCTATTCTTTCAAATCATCCCACCCTCGCCATCTCCCAGAGTCCAAAAGTCTGTTCTTTATATCTGTGTCTCTTTTGCTATCTTGCATGTTGGGTTGTTGTTACCATCTTTCTAAATTCCGTATATATGCGTTAATATATGGTATGGTGTTTCTCTTTCTGACCTATGTCACTCTATATAATAGGCTCCAGTTTCATCCACCTCATTAGAACTGATTCAAATGTGTTCTTTTTTGTACCTGAGTAATATTCCATCGTGTATATGTACCATAGCTTCCTTATCCATTCGTCTGCTGATGGGCATCTAGGTTGCTTCCATGTCCTGGCTATTATAAACAGTGCTGCGATGAACACTGGGGTACACTTGTCTCTTTCAGATCTGGTTTCCTCAGTGTGTATGCCCAGCAGTGGGGTTGCTGGGTCGTATGGTAGTTCTATTTCCAGTTTTTTAAGAAATCTCCTCACTGGTCTCCACAGTGGCTGTACTAGTTTGCATTCCCACCAACAGTGTAAGAGGGTTCCCTTTTCTCCACACCCTCTCCAGCATTTATTGCTTGTAGACTTTTGGATAGCAGCCATTCTGACTGGCGTGAGATGGTACCTCATGGTGGTTTTGATTTGCATTTCTCTGATAATGAGTGATGTTGAGCAATTTTTCATGTGTTTATTAGCCATCTGTATGTCTTCTTTGGAGAAATGTCTGTTTAGTTCTTTGGCCCATTTTCTGATTGGGTCATTTATTTTTCTGGTATGGAGCTGCATGAGCTGTTTGTATATTTTTGAGATTAATTATTTGTCAGTTTCTTCGCTTGCTATTATTTTCTCCCATTCTGAAGGCTGTCTTTTCACCTTGCTTATAGTTTCCTTCATTGTGCAAAAACTTTTAACTTTAATTAGGTCGTATTTGTTTATTTGTGTTTTTGTTTCCATTACTCTGGGAGGTGGGTCATAGTAGTCTTGCTGTGATTTATGTCAGATAGTTTCTGCCTATGTTTTCCTCTAAAAGTTTTATAGATTCTGGTCTTACATTTAGATCTTTAATCCATTTTGAGTTTATTTTTGTATATGGTGTTAGAAAGTGTTCTAGTTGGAGGCTAATTACTTTACAATATTGTAGTGGTTTTTGCCATACATTGACATGAATCAGCCTGAGTATTCATTGGAAGAACTGATGCTGAAGCTGAAGCTCCAATCCTTTGGCCACCTGATGCGAAGAGCTGACTCATTAGAAAAGACCCTGATGCTGGGAAAGATTGAAGGCAGGAGGAGAACAGGACGACAGAGGATGAGATGGTTGGATGGCATCACTGGCTCAATGAACATCAGTTTGAGCATGCTCTGGGGGATGGTGAAGGACAGAGAAGCCTTGCGTGCTGCAGTTCATGGGGTCTCAAAGAGATGGACACAACTGAGTGGCTGAACAATAGCAACAATGACATTAAGATTTGTTTTAATACATTGCCTGGGGTACAGATTAAATGCTCAAAAACTGTTAGCTATCTCCATGATTTTATAATCAAGGGGAAAAAAAAAACAAAGCCAGAACACAGACCTTTATAAGAAGAACTTCTCTGTGTTCTAATTTTGCTTGCTCAGTCATGTCCGACTCTTTGCAACCCCACGGACTGTAGCCTGCCAGGCTCTTCTATCCATGGAATTTTCCAAGCCAAAATACTGGAGTGGGTAGCTGTTCCGTTCTCCATGGGATCTTCCCAACCCAGGGATTGAACCCAGGTATCTCACATTGCAGGCTGATTCTTTACTGTCTGAACCACCAGCAAAGCCCCTAATTTTGCTAAAAGATCTCAAATTCAGGGGATTCCATGCGAATGGATAAAGGTAAACACAAAACTGCAAAACTTGTATAAAGATTTAAAGTGCTGAAATATTTTTCCTGTTTCCTTTCCGTTTTTAAAATATCTGAATTGTGCCCTATACTGAAGTTGTTTGAATATGTTTTTTATGTTGCATTGGAAAAAATTGTATAACTTTAACCTGTTTAGCATTTTTCACTAACAATTTTATTTGTAGCAAGACAGTAAAAGTAATATAGGATACAAGTGACCATGTCTATCATACTTTGTAAAAGCTCTCAATAGTTTAAACATATTTTTTCTCCCCCACGCTGAGATTTGTTATTTGAAGCATACACTGGGTTTCTTGTACTTCCTGTGGCCTTTTCTCTAATTGTTAAAGTACTCTGCAACCAGTGATTGAGCAAAAAATGTTTGTTTACTGATTGCCTAGCAACATTATAAGGCTATTGTACTTGACGGAACCTGCAGATAATATGAGTACGGGTTTCACAGAGTTCTTTGTACTTTTCTGAGTTAATTATCTCCCAGAAGCTTGCAGAATGACAATTAGACCAATGGAATTTGTGTCTAAGAAGTTAGAGAACACTTCTTAATAAATCCAAAAACTTGTGAAATTTCAGCATTAAAATATTTCAGAAGTGTATTTGCTTTGCTGCCAAGTAGAACGTGCAGTTGGAAAACATCATGGGAAGAAAGACGATTTTGCTTCTGATTGTGGGGGCTCTTGGGGCATATTATGTTTACACACCTCTCCCGGATAATATTGAGGAGCCATGGAAATTAATGTGGGTAACAACGTGTTTAAAAACTATTACACATTTGGTAAGTATAAACTTTTATTGACTCTCAATGTTTAGAAGTTTAGTCAGGAGAAAATAATGATTTTTATTATTTTTAAAATAATTTCTGCTGTTTTGGAAAGTTTACTCAAAGTTTGCTTGCTGGTTTTAAAACCTTTCAAATATTTTATCTATTGCTTAATGCAGAATGAATATGGATGGAGTAGTCAAAGAGTTTCAATTTTAAATACTAGAAAACAAAATAGACTGGCTAAGAAAGACAAAAAGTCTTATTGTGAATTTCATGGCATGAGTGCTGCCAGAATGAAGCGTTTTGAACTTCAGAAATGGTAGAATTGAGCAACATTGTGATTAGTTACAGAATTCGATACAGTAACCTTGTATTCAAGTGTGCAAATCCTTTCTTACTGAAATACCTGTGAACAAGTTAGCTGGTAAAAACCCAGGAGAAACAAGGAAAATGGTTTCCAGTTGAACGGTTTAGTTGCTAAGTGATAGGATCCTGCATGACTGGCTCACTACCTCCTGTTCATAGGTCATCCTCAAAGACTTGTGGTTCTTTTCTAATGAGGCTAATTTATTTCTATAAAGCCATATACTTTGCTCTTTTAACTTTGTAGTGAGTTGCTTCCCTGCAACAAAAACAAAACAAAAACAATTCATAGACAGTCTGGGTGTTAAACCCTTGGCTCAACATTTCTTGCATATATTTTTTCAGTTGTTTCAACACTTCTGGAGCTTAATGTAGCTCTGAATAAGTGCAATGCTTGTCTTATTTTTATTTCATTATTAGTGATTTGACCATTTTTAGTAATTTTATAGTACATGTTATTGGATTTGGGTAAGTTTTGGTAGAATATAGCTTCAAGTCATTTTTTAAAAGTTATTCTTGGTTGATTTTGATTGATTTTTTTGATTTCTTTTATTATTTGGATTAATTATGTGTGTGTGTGTGTGTGTATATACACTTATGTACACATGTCGTCCTTGTTTGTCTTTGGAAAAAATGTCATTTTCTCTATAGCACTTAATCTTTTGCAATTTTCTTTTGTTTTTCTCATTTCTATCATATATAACACTTTGCTTGAGTTTCTTATAATTCAGTGTTTATTTCTGAAATTATTTTGTCTTTTTTTCTTATACCTTTTCTGATTTCTATCAGTATCATTTTTTAATCACTTCTTTTCAACTAGAGATTATCTCCAAATATCTTTCTATACCTTCCTTAAAGATTTGTACTTCTGCTTTGTGATCTTTATTCTTATATTATTTGTTCTGAAGCATTGTGTAATTTATTTCATCTACCTTGTACCAATTATTTTTAAACTTGTTTTCTTCATATGTCAGAGGCTATTATTATTTTTCTTATAGCACATAGTACCTTGCATGAGTTTTTGTTTTTTCATGAATGTTATGCATATACCTTTTGTATTATTTCTATTTGAATGAGATGGCTTTTCTTTGACAAACTTAGAAGAATGTACTGGAGAATGGTGGAAGGGTCAAGACTTTTTTTCTTAAAGTATTTTTGCTTAAGAGCGCCTATCACTATGTATGTATGAATTTATAAATTTCTAATAAAAGACAATGGATATTTACTCCAATAATGAAAGAGACTCACCATGATCAAAGACTGAAACATAATGAAGCTTGATTACTGGGACAAATTGCTATACTAAAAAATTGCCCAGAAGTAACTGTTATCTTTTAAATTATTTATCTTTTTTTTTTCCCCTTGAATTGTGTGGTTTCATACAGATGGGAAAAAAATGTAGATTTACCATAAAACTCCCACTCTTTTCTTTTTTTTAAGGAAAATATTTAATTTGCTAAGTACATCAGATTGCCATATAATATAGTATCTTATGAAAATCTCTAAAAAGCCCATCACTCACTTCACTTCATGTTGAAGAAGTAACCAGGGTTCTTTTTTTTTTTATCATTTTCCTCATCCCAAGAAGAAAAAAACAAAACTTTTGCTTGACTTTAATGCCACCTGACACTACTTTGTTCTTTACCAATCAACTTAAGCATAAGTTAAAGAATGGTAATTCAAATTTTTTTAATTTTTAAAAATTTTTTTAAATTTTTCATTTATTTTTATTAGTTGGAGGCTAATTACTTTACAATATTGTAGTGGTTTTTGTCATACATTGACATGCCAATGATGAAGATAAATGAAAATCATTGAATACAATCAATTATCAACTAGTTGGTGATGCAGCATTATCTTCTGAAATAGGAATTGCAAATATATTTTACTAAAATGCCAACTCTGATAGATTGCTCAGCAGTACTCTGAAAGGTAATATGAGACTCTAAAATGACTCTGAGGTTGCATTTAGTCTTGATAAGAAATAGCATGGCAATCAAATAACATTTTCAGACCTGTACCCGGTTTGGGATTATAGACATTTGTGAAAGCATTTTCCACCCTTACACCAGATTATAAGATTATGCTTATTTGCTTTGGGACACTTTGAAACTTCCTAGGTTTAAGGCTATTTAAAGAATTTGTTAGTTTTATTGCCTTCTATTCTTTTTTTTCTCCATTTGTCACTGACTCTTTCAACACTTTCTACTTCTTTTAGCTGCTATGCCTTCTCAAAGATATCACTGGTTGACCTCCAAAGGATGAACATTTTGAAACCCAATAGATACTCCTTTGAGTTTCCAAACTGCTGAGTAACCACACTTAATATGCAGAACTTTGACTAGGTGCAGCCAATGGCATAGGCACTGTTTTCTCAACAGAAATTCAGTATATATATATATATATATATATATATATATTTAGGTGAAAGATCCTTGTATGATTGATTAAGATGCGTAAAACATTTTGTCCTTACACTGAGGAATATAAATTCCTGCATAGTGAGAATTTTCCCTCTCTATCATTTGATATTTCAAATTTACATAAAAAATTGCTCCAATGTAAAGAAATTAGCTGCCAACTAATATAAATAAATAAAAAAGAAAAATAAAAGTGAAAAAAAAATTTCTCCCAGAGTATAGAGTCAGTATAAAGAAAAAAAGATAATCTGAGAAGGTATGTCCATACGCTACTGCTCTAGTTGCTTCACACTTACCAAATAGAGTCAAAGAAACTAAAACCCTTGTTTCAATTCAGACTCCAGGGACACTGGGCAATATTTGTAGCACAGTGGTGACTTAGTCTTTTGCGATGTATTTATTAATGTTACAATTCCTAGTAAACTCTAAAAAGTTGTGAAAATACAAAGTCACCTATAATTTTTTTATACTTAGTACTTTCTTACACACAAATGACATCTACTTTGTGTTCAGTCTCTTAAGTCAGGTCCGAGTCTTTGCAACCTCATGGACTGTAGCACGCCAGACTCCTCTGTCCTCCATTGTCTCCCAGAGTTTGCTCAAATTCATGTCCATTAAAGTCGGTGATGCTATGTAACCATCTCATCCTTCGCTGCCCCCTTCTCATTTTGCCTTCAGTCTTTCCCAGCATCGGGGTCTTTTCCAGTGAGTCAGTTCTTCGAATCAAGTGGCCAAAGTTTTGGAGCTTCAGCTTTCAGCATCAGTCATTCTAATGAATATTCAAGGTTGATTTCCTATTTTCATATAAATACTCATCTTTAACCTGTATAACATATACCATTCTTCTATCATTTAAAAATATTTACTTGAAACTAAATAATCTTATTCTTTGCAGATAAGATACTTGAGTCTAGTGATTTATGTTTTGAAAGAGGCCTTGTATTTTATGTACTTAACTTTGATTGAAAGCCAGAGGGCCAGCTAAATTAACATAAATTATTTTAGGGGGAAAAATGTGGACACTTTATGTCATAGGTCATAGGAATTTTAAATTTGTTAAAATTAAGTAAATAAATGCTTGTGACCTGACTATCACTTTTCTATGTTAACATTTAAAATAATTAAAAATTGTTTCCACATTTGACACTGAAAATAAAGGAGATGGAAAATGGTCCACTGGAAGTAAGAGTCTCTACCCCTTGTGTATAGCACGGAGGAACAGGTATGGGATACCATGGTGTTGGTGGCAAGGTCAGTGTGTGTGGAGCTGTTTGTGTGTGGAAGGGGTGACCAGAATGTGGAGAAGACCTGGAGTATCCTTATAGCTATAGAAGAGTTGATCTTCTAAGCTCGTCAGGCACTGACTAAGCATTTGCACTTCACTTTCACCTGCATGAAGTTCTACTCCTCTGGCTGCAGTTGTGGCATTAAGGCGGTGCTTTCTGTGAGTCTATTTTCTGGCATCTCTTTAGGACAGCGGCTGGGCACCAGTAAGGAGGGATGTTTGTGTGCTACTTGAGCCGAGTGTAGCGTGAGTGGGCTGGGGCATGCAGGAGGCCGTGGGAACCACCACATTCTTGTGGACCCTGGGCAGGGCCCAAGGCGCCCTCAGAGTTGGGTTCCCGCCCAGTCTCTCTGCCCAGTCTCTCACACCCATGAAAGTTCTGTGAATACTAAGGGATCCTTGAACACTGTATCCACTGCCACGCTGTCTCTTCAATGGGCATTTCATAATGATGGCCACTACGGGACAGTATATTGTCGGTCAGGAGTGACACCTGGCTCCAGGGATCAGACCGGGGCTTCAGTCCCACATGTAGCACTTATTGTATGGGTAGTCATAAATATGTCTCCTAACCTCTCCCACCTCAACATACTCAATTGAAAAATCTGGGAATATATTACTGTTGACCAGGTTTTCATAAGAATTGAATTGGTACACAAATGGAAAGCATAATACCTGGCAAAGATTAAAAACAACTGTAAGTATAGTTATTTATCTCCATCTCCTTTCTTCTGATATTAGCAATGCAGCTTCTTTTCTGATATAATTTTATGTATTTTTGGCTGTGCTGGGTCTTCATTGCTGCATGGGCTTCTCTCTAGCTGCGTCAAGTGGGAGCTACTCTCTAGCTGCGGTTTGTGGGCTTCCCACTGCCACGGCCTCCTATTGTGCAACCGGGCTGTGGGGCGCTTGGGCTTCAGTGGCTGTGGTTCCTGGACTCTATA